CATGAATGTCAACTTGGCATCAGTAGAGTCGATCTTGTTTTCTATCGATTCGATCAAAAAACAACGGATTCAGTTCTAGTACCTAACTAATGAGGGTGGCTCTCCATATGTGTCTAATTGCTTTCCAACCGAGACGACATATTGTATAAATAACTACTACGTAGTGAGTAATCGAAAAGTCTACAATGGTTTGATATTCCTGAGCGTTTGTTATCGAGATATCAAAATTTTACTTGGTTTTTCTGTGGTCGCCCTCAGATTATGTGGAAAAGAGATCTTCGAGTTTCAACTTCAAATTTCTCATGTACAAAGTTCTTAATTAAGATTAGTTGATTGTGCAAATTTTAGCTTTTCTATTGTTTTCTTTCGGAAGAGACGTAAATATATGAACAAAATTTGTTTTTATACTTGAAAGAATTTCGAATATCGAATATCTCAGGAATGTTCAATTCGACACGAACGACGTTAATTCCTTGAATTTCAATTCATTACGATATACACTTATTGAAATTTTGATTATTATTTTGAAAATAATTTAGAATTGTTCAATTTTATTTCAAGTAGAGAAATAATAAATAAAACATCATTTCTTTATTTATATACAAAAGAAAAAGAAAATTCAGTTTAATTATCTTGTTTCTTCATCACTTCCATCTACATTCATTTCAACAATAAATCCTTCACTAAGACTTTTACATTTTGTTACAAAATATGGTAATTGATTAAACATATAATCTCGACGAATAGAATTTTCTGATGAATATTGTTCAGGTGATGATGATGATGGTGTACCTGTTTGATAACTTTCATGATAACCATGATCACAACTAATATTATCAATTTTATCTTTTTCATTATAATGAATATCTATAGGTACATGAAGAATTTTATATGTATGAGATTCTGGTGATGAACAATTAACTAAAAATATTTAAAATAAAAATTTAGAATTAAAATAAAAACTAAGAATTACGAACTTGATAAACGTTCATTAGTAAAAGGTCTTTCATTTGAACAAGGTGGCTAAAAATATAATAAATAGAATTATAAAAAAACTTATCAGGACGATCACATGAGAAGCTAATGTGTGAAATTCATAAACTCTGACTGTTATCAGACGAATTTTGACATATACTGTCGAGTCTTCCCTAAACTTAGAATTTAATCAATTCATACGTTACTATGTCCGTTCTATTCTGATCCTGCTAGATCAATAATACCAATATCCTACTACTGGGCACCCACAATAAGAACCTTTCGCTACATTTAAGGCCTTCGTTTCAAAAACCGATCTCAGCCTAAGAACGTTCAAATGCTATGAAATTTCCAGCCCGATATCACTATGTTTGACAGCGATATTAACTGAACAAGGGTCAAAAATAGCTCATTTGATAAAGCAAATTTCTCTGTTCAAGTTCATTCGGTATATTTGTTTGAAAGACCATGTCAGAATGCAGTACGTTACAGAGCCATTTCTTTCTTTAAATTCTTATTTTTTAAGGGAAGAAAAGGAATTGAAATTTCAATGATTCGAAAAATGACGCTCTAATTATATAAATGTTTGTACATATAGTGAAAACAACAAAAATTTATGAAAGATCAGATCACGGACTATCTTTCCATGCATTTATCTTAATTTCGACCATTCTGATGAAAAGTAACTTTTTTTTGCAGATGAAGGTCTTAAATACTAAAACCGACAATATTTCGACTAGTTAGAGTCTACAGTAGAAGTAACGGTTCTAAAATGATTTGAGCAGTGTTATTGCTTATGTGCTTTGTTCCCATTGCTAGGAAAACGTACGCAACTCCTAGTGCCCTCAGTTGCTAAGGCCATGGGAGAGAACGCTGGAAAAACTTCGATTTAAAGTTCCACTCACTATTTTTCTTACTCGAATAATTTGTTGATGTTCAATAGATGTTGATGTTATATTCGATGTAACAGTTGAATCAGATGTTGTTAATTGTTGTGATGATGAACATAAAAGTTTATTTCGTGCTATAATTCTTGTTTTATGTCTTTGATGTTGTTGTCGTATTAATAAACAAATAATAATAATTGATATTAAAAATAAAAATGTTATTATTAAAATTGTTAAACCAAATATAAAAACAAAATAATTTGTATGTAGAGATTTTTCTTGAAAAAATTTTTCAATTTTATCAAATGATGAATAACGTGAATCAAAAGAATTTCCAAAAGCAATATTTATTTCAATTAATGTTTGTTGTATTGGATAACCATAATCTTCAAGTAAAATATGTAATTTAAATAAACATATTTGATTAATTTTATTTGTTATAAATAAACTTCCATTTTGATTTAAATAAAATAATGTTTGATTATAATTAAAATTAATATTTGATTCAATTGATTGTAAATTATATTTTATTTTACCATTTAATTCTGAATCTTTATCTGTTATATTTAATAAAACAATTTCATTTTCATATGATTTATTTATATCAAGAAAAATTTTTTTTTGTTCATTACTAATTAATTCAGGACGATTATCATTTATATCTTCAAGAATAATTTCTATTTGACATGAATTTTTATTTTTATTTTTTATTATATTTCCATTATCTTCAAGATCAATTATTAATAGAAAATTTTTATATTCAGATTCATAATCAAATAATTCTTTTGAATATATTTCACCTGTTATATTATTTATATTAAATAACCATGTAGAATTTGTTCGAAATCTATAATTTATAGTACCATTTAGACCATTATCAGGATCACTAGCATTTATTTTTATTATTGGTTTATCAATAGGAAAATTTTCTGGAATTGATATTCGATTGTAACTTGTTAAACATTGAGGAATATTATCATTTACATCTAAACTAGAATAAAAAAACCAATCAAATCAAATTATTATTATAAAAACAATTTTCAGTGAAATATTGCAATATAGAGAGAATAAATGATATAGAAAATTCAATTGTATATCTCATCGCTGAAACAAATACTTTCAAAAAGATCAACAACTTTCTTTGGAGAATCGATATTAGCAATCATTCTTTTTTGTTATGAATGTAAGCTATATGGAGAATACTGCAAGTGTCATCCGTCGGTAGCTTTTATCATTGGAATAAAGATCGCTGAAAACACCTATTGTCTGATAGTCACATCATCAAAATGTAGATCGAAGTAAACTATAGATTCAATATTCATAGTGATGATAGATTATGAATTTTTTGTTTTGTCTTTTGAAAATTTTACAGGTATTAGATTTCATCTTGAGAGGAAATTTCGTTCATGGACACATCATTTTTCTTAGCTAATCTTTTTTTTTTAATAGGGACAAAGTCTATCGTATCGTGATTGTCTCATGTTTGTATAGCAAGCAAAATTTAAGCAAAAGACAAAACAAATCCTTATATATTGTCTTCTCAAATGTAGAAGACATTGATCCAAAACTCAGAGTATTATTATATTTGATAGTATAGAAAGAATTCGATTTTGATAAAAAAAACTTACACTTGAATTTGAATTTGAACATCTGTAATCCATTTCGGTTCAGCAAGATTAATAGCTCTAGCTGTTAATTGAATATATTCTATTTGTTCTCGATCTAATGGTTGAATTAAATATAATCTTCCTGTATTAGAATCAATTTTAATAAATTCATTTGATTCTAATTCATATTGATTTAATGCATTTTCTCCTTCATCATGATCTATACCATTTAAATAACCAATTGTTAATTGATAATCTTCAATTGGATATTTAATCATATGATAATTAGCTAATTCTTCAATATAAAATTTTAATGGATTTGATAAAAATTCACTTGGATTATCATTTAAATCAATTAAATAAATTTTTAAATCATAAATTGATGTTAATAAACTATCAGTTGCTATAAAACGTAGATTTATTTCTGTTTGAATTTCTCTATCAAATATTCCTTGTTTAGCAATAAGTATATAAGAATTTAATTGATTTGATGAAATTATTTCATAATCTTGTTTTATTTGTTTATCTAATATTATTAATGATATTGAAAGTTTTGTTTCTATTGAATCACGATCAACTAAACGTATATAACCTAATGTTAAATTATTTATTTCTGTATTTTCATATATAAATAATTTTTGATTATCATATTGAAAACGTCGATTTGGTAGAAACATTATTTCAACTGGACAATCATTTATATCTTTTATTGAAATTGAAAGCCATGTATCAGTAAATAATGATTGTACTAAACCAGAATCAGATGCACGAATTAAAAATCTATATGAACGTGTTATTTCATAATCTAATGATGAATGAAGACTAATAACACCGGTTGTAGAATTTATTATAAATGGAAATGATGATGAACTTGGAGGATTAATTATTGAATAATGTATTAAACCATTTAAACCTTTATCAGCATCACTTGCTGATATTGTTAATAATTCTGTACCAATAGGAGTATTTTCCGGAAGAGACTACAACGAAATTTATTATGAAAATACAATTAAAAGTTTTTAGAATATAAAGT